GTGCTATGGAATCTACTATTGCAGTCTTCTTTTTCATGAGGGAAAGAGACCATGTATTTCAATACATTACTTCTTAAAATAGATGTGTTTGCGGCTGGAGAGCTGGAGCAGTGGTTAAGAGTGGTTGCTGTTCTTCCAGAGGTCCAGCGTTCAGTTCCCAGCACCCCGGTTGCCTGACCCACAGCCTCCTGTAACTCCAGATTCCGGGGTCTGATACTCCTTCCTGGCCACCACAGGCTTTTACACACACACACACACACACACACACACACACACACACACACACACAGTATTAACATAGTCATTAAAAAATATTTTATTATTTATATAGCATTCTACCTGCATGTGTGTCTGCACGCCAGATCTCATTTTAGATGGTTGTGAGCCACCATGTAGTTGCTAGGAATTGAAGTCAAGACCTTTGGAAGAACAGCCAGTTCTCTGAACCTCTGAGCCGTCTCTCCAGCCACCTATAGTCATCTTTCAATTGGAATATATTACATTCATACTATAATAACTATTACTGATTTTAAATATGCCATCTTGAGTTTCCTTTTTTATTCATGTTCTTTTTGTCTCTTGAACTTAAAAATGAAATTAATCCTAATACTTTTAAATGTTTCATTTAATCTTCATTTTGCTAAATTGTTGGGACCACAAAGGTTCTTGCATGCACAGCAGGCACTAGGGAAACCAGGCATGTTAAAACACCCAGGGCTGTATTTTCAAAGGAAAAGATGGACGACCTGTTTCCTGTCCACAGGGCTGGGAATGGAGGTAGATAAAAGGATAGGCAGCTCCTATTCTCTGTGTAGTGCCAGGCAACACAGACGTGCGATCCAGATATCACCTACGCTATTTACTGTCTGAAAATTTACTTCAACAATTTAAAAAAATAGTTTTTATGTATGTACATGTGTGTGAGTTTGTGTTTGTTTGTACCACATGTGCGGTCCCGTGGAGGTGGAGTTAGAGGCAGTTGTGAGTTGCTTGGCGTGGCTGTGGGGAACAGAAGCTGAGTCCTCTGGAAGAGCAGCAACCTGTATCCTTCCATCTTCCAGCACAGGTTCTGTGTATGGAATTCTAGGCTGGGTCACAGTAAGCTACTGCAATCAGCTAGGACTGAGCTCCACTCCCTCAGGACAGAGTATCTGAGCTGTATATCCCCTCTTGACCCTCATTCCTGCTGGCACTCACCCCTGTGTGTGTGGGGGGGTGTCATCTAGGCGCTCACCTTTGTAGTTTGTTTTTTGTTTTGTTTTTGCTGTTTGAGACAAGGTTTCTCTGTGTAGCCCTGGCTGACTTGGAAGCCTCTCTGTAGATCAGGTGGGCCCTGAATTTAAAGAGATCCACCTGGCTTTGCCTTCTGAGCTCTGGGATTAAAGCACCACAGCTGGGCATGGTGGCATACGCCTTTGATCCCAGCACTTGGAAGGCAGAGGAGGCAGGCAGATTGCTGTGAGCTCGGGGCCCAGCCTGGTCTACAAAGGGAGGCCGGGACAGCCAAGCCCACAGAGAAACCCTGTCTCAGAAAACAAAGAAACAAAACAAAAAGAAACCCAAAATGAAACCAAAAGGTATGCACCACCACCACCTGGAAGCTTTCATGGGTTTTGTTTTGTTTTTTAATTTTTTATTAATTACACTTTATTCATTTTGTATCCCCCCATAAGCCCCTCCCTCCTCCCCTCCCGATCCCGCCCTCCCTCCCCTTTCTGCATGCATGCCCCTCCCCAAGTCCACTGATAGGGGAGGTTCTCCTCTTCTTTCTGATCTTAGTCTATCAGTTCTCATCAAAAGTGGCTGCATTGTCCTTTACTGTGGCCTGGTAAGGCTGCTCTCCCCTCAGGGGGAAGTGATCAACAAGCAGGCCAATCAGATTATATCAGAGGCAGTCCCTCTTCCCATTACTATGTAACCCACTTGGACACTGAACTGCCATGGGCTACACCTGTGCAGGGGTTCCAGGTCATCTCCACGAATAGTCCTTGGTTGGAGTATGAGTCTCTGGGAAGTTCCCTGTGTTCAAATTATCTTGTTCTGTTGCTCTCCTTGTGGAGCTTTCATGGTTTTAAGTTTAGTCTTTTGCTCCTACTTGCCAGTTCTGTGTTTCTAGACTTCTAACAGGAGACAGAGGGCACATTCATACAGGACTCCCAAGAGAAGTTCAGCGAAGCAAGCATGTACAGTGGTGCCAGCTGCACTGTGGGAGACCGAACCGACGGTGAATAAAATACCCTCCAGATAACGACAGATCAAACAGCTCCTTCTTCCAGGACCGATCGGACAAAGTCAGGTCCAGCCAAGTTGCTAGACCTAGAGAGAAGCCATACTAAGTGAGCCTTCCAAATGGAGCTGTGACCTTTGGCCTAGAGACTGCTGACACTCCTGCCTGGCAGGAATGCAGCTGGAGCTGGGAGAGTTCATCCCGCCCACTCTCCCTGTCTCTACCACCAGAATCCTTCCCATGAAGGTCAGGGGACGGGGGATCCATGGGACTGGCTGTGATAGCGCATCTCTTGTTCCAGCACTGAGGAACAAGAGAGACTGAAGTGTTCCAGATGAACCTCTGTAGGAAAACATTGTCTCAACTGAAATGGCAACTTTTAAAAGGTATTGGAAGCTGGGAGCCTGGGCAATCACTGACACAGCGCACAGATGCTTTTGGGGTACAGAGAGCATGATGAGAGTTGTTTTGGAGTGGTCCAAGTGAAGACTCATATGTAGCCTACATTTTTACTCTTGTGCATCACGAATAGGCATTTTATTTTATTTGTTTGTTGTTTATTTTGGCTTTTTGAGACGGGGTTTCTCTGCGGAGCCTGACTGCCCTGGAACTCATGTTGTAGGCCAGGCTGGCCTCAGACTCAGAAATCCACCTGCCCCTGCCACCCGGGTGCTAGTATTAAAGGCGTGCACCACCACCACCCAGCTGACAAATAGACGTTTTGATAGATATATTTGGTGGAGCTTGGAGAGTTGAAAGAAAGCCTGAAGACTGGACACTTACTATGATTGTGTGTGTGTGTGTGTGTGTGTGTGTGTGTAGCTAAAGCATGTGCACATAGGTGCCAAATGATGGACCATGGAAAGTAATGACAGACTCAGCAAAAATATATCTGAATAAGGTGGAGATGGTGTCATGTGTCTAGAACTTCGAAAGGAGTATTAGCACGTGAAAGTGGAGGAATGGTGACCTGGAAGACACTGGAGCTGAGGACCGCACGTAGGCCCTACATGTCACGAGGAACAGAAGAGTAGGCGGCATCCCCTGTAGAGGGCCACAGAAACGCCCCGGGAAGAAAAAGGTGCCCAGCAACCATGGCACTTACCGGCTGCTGTTTCCAAGGGTGAACATGGCAGGACTGGGAGAGAGCGGGAAGGGGCAGGCCGCATGGGCGCAATGGGAACTATTGTGTCTCACTTGAGAGAACCCATCAGTGGCGGCACCACTAAGAAGGTCAGCAACCCCTCTCCCTGTGGTGTGCGGAAGCAGGGTGCAGTGTTGGTGGCTCTCACAGAGCGCCAGCACCCCTCCCTGCTCACATGGGAAGTGAGCACACTTTGCACAGTACACAGACTTAGGACAGTTCCGGAGGGGAGGAGCTTCCTGCTAGTAAATTATTTCCAAGAAATGAACGAACAGGGCTGGAGGGGTGGCTCAGAGGTTAAGAGTGCTGTCTGTTCTTCCAGAGGTCCCGAGTTCAATTCCCAGCAACCACATGGCGGCTCCCAACCATCCATAATGAGATCTGATGCCCTCTTCTGACATGGAATGTACGTGCAGACAGAGCACTCATACACATAAAAATAAACATTTAAAAAACGAATGAGCGTATTGCTACTATTGTTATTATGTATTGCTGTTATGTAATGGTTAGGGCTGTCAGCTGGAGAGGGTCTGGGATCACCCAGGAGACAAGCCTCCAGGCTTACCTGGGATTACACCAGCCCTGATTGCATGAGCCTCTGGGCGTCCTGTGAAGGGTTGTCTTGATTGGGATAGTGGGCTGGGAAGGCTAGGGCGCCGGACATTTTAGATTCGAGGAAGCTGGTTTCGCATTCGTTTTCTTTTTCCTGGGTGTAAATATGCTACCAGCTTCCTCAAGCTCCAGCTCCTGTAGTCAAGTGTTCACAGACCCCGGTCCCTACCCCTAAGCTCTGCCCCTAACTCCCATCCCTATCCCCTACCCCTAGCCCCGCTCCTTGCTCCAGCTCCTAAGCTCCCACCTCTTAACTCCTCACTCCTAATCCCCTACCCCTTACCCCTACCCCTAGCCCCTTACCCCTAAACCCCTACACCTCTAGCCCCACCATCACCCCTAATTCTTCCACTCTTAACCCTCATCCCCACTGGAATGATGGGCTTTACCTTCAAAATGTGTGCCAAGATAAACCCGTTCTCCTATAAATTCCTTTTGTAAGGGCATTTTAGCTCAACAACAGAGAAAGTAACTAATTTACATTATAAATAGGCTTAAAGAATAGGTTCAAATTACAGTCATTATCATTCAGTTTTAAAGGCAGAAGCGGACAATAATATATATGCTCTAAAATTTTCTTTAAAACATTTCTAGCAACTACTCCTTATTGGGATTCAATGAATCCATGAATTTTCAAATGAGAAGGATTTGAAACCACTGTCTTCTAAATATATTAAATACACAAAGCAGTTTTTTTCTGTCACTTATGCTGGCAAGTGAATCAATAGCTCAATAACTGAAATCAGGATTTTAAACGTGGTTATGATGGTTAGAAACACCAGCTTTCACTCAGCAAGGCAGAGGAAGGTGGATCTCTGTGAGTTCAAGGCCAGCCTGCTCTACAAAGCCAGTTCAGGACAGCTGAGGCTACACAGAGAAACCCTGTCTTGAAAAAAAAATCAAGAGAGAGAAACCAGCTTTAAGAATAGATTGCTGTGAGTTAAGCAAGCAACTTGAGCACTTTAATTTGCAAAGAACTGATAAAGAGGGGTGGTTTTCACATTGTGGCTCCCAGGCCTAGAGAAACGTCTTCATCATCGTATGTGTGATATGGCTTTCGGGGCTCTGGACGTCTTCATAAAAGCTGAGCCGCATTTCCTTCTTTTGGAGATAAATGGGCATTTTCTTGCCTTCCACACCCATTAGCTTCAATGCCATTGGGCCCAAGTTGACATACTCCTGTGGTGAAGAGGAGAGGTAATTGGCAAGTGAGCTTGATAATGAGTTGTCCCTTTCCTGGGCAGACCTTCACCTGACAGAACTCTTTGCCCTGCTGATTGTGTGACGGCTGTACATACATGGAATGTGAACGCCGCCGCAACATTTAAAAAATATACTTTTTAGGTTTATATTCCCTGTGGGCTGTAGTAGAAAGCTGAACCGGTGAGCAGAAGGGAAGGCTGATGATCTCAGGGGGAGTGAGGTGGGTTGGGTGGTGGAGATGTGTCGCCTGCAGGCTGCTTTGTTGGTGAAGGAGAACTTGCATGGTCCTCCACATGCCAGGGCAAAGCCACAGCAGACTTTTCTGCATTATCCAAAAGTATCAAATAAAACTATCTGGAGAGTTCCACAAGTGCTGTGTGGACCAGATCATGTAATCCTTGAGCAACTTTTCCACAAATTTCAGTCTTTCCCCAGGCTCTTTGGCTACTGTATTGGTAAAACTTAGCCTACAGCCAAGGTGTATGTAGTCAGGCAACACAAAGAACTGGAAAGTTACTGGCTAGAAAATCCTCTAGCCAGCCCCAGATGCCCAGGCCCTTCCTGGGAAGACTCCTACGCCATAATTGGCGTGTTCAACAGGCACACCAGCAAATCTTTCTGGAGTGCTCCCCGTGCCTGTGATAAACACGGGGCCGCTGAGGGACAGCCTGAGTAGCATACTCCTCTCTCCATGGTAGTTGTTGACTCGTGTCTGAAAATCCATCTTTGAGCTTTAGCTGCCATTCCCTTAAAATTCTCAACCATGAACAGGTGCCTGGCGTGTTGGCAGGGTGCTCAGTATTTATGTGAACTTAGAAGAGGAGGCGATGCCTCACCTTTCCAAATGCTTGCCACCGTATGAAGTTTGATGAACATCTGCACGTTCCACGCCATGGCCGCTGCAGCTCCTCCACCAAAGCTCATAAGAATACCTTTCATCAACCCAGGGGCATTCAGCTTACCGTCTGTTGTCCACAATTATCAGCCATCAGCACGATACAGCAGGAGTTAGGATTCCAGGATGCTAGTGGTGGTGGCTGGGCATTTAAATGGCAAAAACTCTAAAACATCCATCCTTTAATTTTTTTTTTTTTTCAATGCTGAAAACCAAACCAAGAGCCTCCTACACATTTATCGATCTCTGTTACCACCTCGGTCACTCGAGGGGCTACAGGGAGACCGAGTCACCATCATCTTGCTTGACATAGGAGTACCCCCTCTTGAGGTGGGCCGGTTTTGCCCCAGTCTAGGCTTCAGATGAGGGTGGCCCTAACTAGCATATGGCTGTGACTGCCCAAGTGAGAACCTGGTGAAGCCATTGCTCAATCCCCAGCTAACAGAGCCCTGAAGGCACATAAAAGGTATTGTTTTATACTGCTAGATTTAGGGACAGTTTCTTAGGTAGCGTAAGATAACTTACCCCTTCTCTTGTAGCTGACTGACTGGAAGTGGGAGCAAAAAGAATAGCCCAGGAGAGGCCAATGGTGGGCTGGTTTTACTAGGAATTACAGGTCAGTTTTTCAGTGTTTTCATTTCGGGTCTCTTCTGCCAGCATTGGAGTCACTGATATTCTGGTTAGAACCGTGTTCTCACCTTGAAGTCCTGCTCATCCTCGTGCAGTAAGTAATGAATGACAGAGCCCTCTGTGACGGAGTCCTCTTTGGCGGGGACGTCCTCTCCTTCCTTCTGCTTGACTTCCGGGCTGCTTTCCTGTGGGAGGTCCAGCATATCTCCACTCTCGGTTTCAGAGGGCAGTTTCTCCTCTGGGGCTAAAGCAAAGAAAGAAGTTGTTGGGAGATGGTTTTGTGCATGGTGCAGTCAGGTGCTGCTTTGTGTCTCAGAGAGTCCGGTTGCAGCACGAGCATTGCCATTATTATTGAAGAATCTCCTGTCTCAGCATTGTGTGAAAACTGTTCTCCATCATTTCTGGTTGGTTAATAAAGAGCTCAACAACCAATAGCTGGGCAGGAGAGGTGAGGGGAGGCAGCATTTCATTCCTAGTTAGAGGGTCCCAGGTGGAGAGAGAGGGAAGAAGAGATGAGAGGTCACCATGGGAGAGTTACCATGAGGACATGGATGGAGCAGGAGCAGCCAGGGTGAAACTAGATGCCAGGTAATGGGGCACATGGCTGGGAATTAGGCTAGGTCAGCATGGTTGGGTTAGAATAGATAAGAGTCAGCTATAGTGCTTAAGGCTTATTAATAAGTTGAATAGGTCTCAGCATCATTATTTGGGAGCTAGAGTGGGTGTAGAAAAAAACCTTTATTTTTACAATAATTAAATAATATTTTGAGCAGATGACAAAATACAATGCCATTGTTGGTCACATTTTTTTATTTGAAAGAACTCTAAACTTAGAAATGTCAAATTTGGGGCTAAAGGAATGGCTTAGCTTAATCAGTACTGTGACAGTGACGCCTCCACGGGGCCCTCGGTTCAGTCCCCGGCGCTGCCACCACCAAACCCAATATATCTTAGAGAAAAAGTATAGAATTTATGAAACAACTTAATAAAGAAAATAGTAACAAAAGAAGCAGAGGCAGGTGGATCTATGTGAGTTCAAGGCCAGCCTGGTCTACTGAGTGAGTTCCAGGAAAGCCAAGGCTACACAGAGAAACCCTGTCTCAAACAACCAAAAAACCAAACCAAAACAAAATGGAAGTAATATAAATTATATAGAAGTAAGTGATGGGTACATTTTAAGAGCTATTCGACATCCTTCTTATAGCTAAGACCTTAACCATAACCACCTGGGGTTATATTGACTCAGGGGTGTGCTGTTATCAGTGTAGGCAACACCCCATTCCTCTCTAAAGGCATCTCCTTAATTCATTATAAAACATGATGAGATTGATAGAAAATGGGATTAAACCTCGGGAGCAGCACAGTGTGTCTGCAATGTCAGCCCTTGGGAGGCTGAAGCAAGGGGAGCATGAGTTCAAGCCCAGCCTGTGCTGTTTGGAAATACCTTAGAAAGAAGAAAGTGTCTGGGAGAAAAGGAAGGGAGGGACAGAGGGAGGAAAAGGACAGGGAAAGGGAAGGGAGGAGTTGACAGACAGGAGAGTGGAGCAGGAGGAACGCTGTGGGAGGAGGGGCGGAGAGGTGCCGCTCTAGATCTGCTCCTCACGGCCCAGTGCCTCCCTACGGGCAGGATGCTGTGCTTTAAGGCAAGGAGAGCCTCATTGCAGGGAACTGTACCTGTGTCCTTCTCTGGCAATTTCAAAGACATGTCTTCCTCTGTCACTTGCAGCCCAGCTGCTTGAGTGAGATACAGTTTCCTGAGAGAACAAATAACAGCCTGTCAGTCAATAAATACCAGCCCGTGTGCTCACCAGCATCCATCCCTCCCCAGAATATGGAGACAAAAGGGAAACTGAGACCTGCTTTACATGCTTCAGGAGCATAAGGCTTGTTGAAATGATAAATGACACAGCATTATCTAAAGTGATAATTCCTAGCGAGATAGGTAATGATTAGTGTGAGAACTCTGGGAATCAGAAAGAACAGCCTTTGAGTGAGCCTTGGGGACAAGGAAGGTTTCCTGAGGAGATGAAATCTGAACGTTAGTCTTGTAGAACCAGAAGTTCACTGGGGAAAAGTAAACGGGGAGGGAAAGTTCCAGAAGGGACAGTGAGAATGATACCAGTTAGGCCACTGTAGATTTTCAGTAAGAAGATCATTAAGAAGTGCTGAGGCCGTAGCTCAGTGCTAGAGGGCTTGCCTGGCAGGTATAAGGCCCATGTGTGGAGGAGGATGGTGGGGAAGGGGAAGAGGAAGAGGAAACGGAGAAACACATATAAACTATTTAAAACACATACACACAGTGTTTCTATAAGTTTGGACTTGCAACACATACCACTGTTTGTTAATGTTTTGAATTATTCCTTTTTGTTTGACAGGTAAGAGTGTTTTGCCTGCATGTAGATGCACCATATGTGTGCAGTACCTCCAGAGGCCAGAAGAGGGCACTGGATCCCTTGATGCGGGAGTTACGTATGGGGGTGCTGGGACTTTAACCCAGATCTTTTGGAAAAGTGGCCAGCGCTCTTAATTACTGGGCCATCTCTGTAGCCACCAAGTTCCCTTCTTTTTGAGTACTGCCATCTAGTGGAAACATTGAAGAATGCAATCTTTCTTTTTCAAACAGGGTTACTCTGTAACCCAGGCTGGTTTAGAACTATGGCCTATGAAGGCAGGCCTTGAATTACCGTAATCCTCTTGTGTCAGCCTCCTGAGTGCTGGAATTACAAGTGACACCCGGATAAATAATTTTTTTTTTAAATCAAACCAAACAAAAACCCCACAAACTTTTTACAGGTATAATGTCTACAGAACACTTTCTAGAAGTGTTGTGACATTGACCAGGGCATTCTTAAGGCAGCAAACGCTAACTGCATTGGCCAGAGAATGCCTCACCTTGGTATTTTGAGATCCACAAGTTTACACTTAAACAGCTGGTCAATAAGCACCAAATTTTCCTTTTCTAGTTGATGAATAGTCCTTTCCAGGTCTTCAACCTCCTTCCTGTGAATTTTAATCTGTTTGCAGAAAAGGGGAATGGGTATCAGTACTTACTGGCTTCATCCAGTGATGTCTTCTACAGCAAACTCAACTCCTGAAAGGGACATTTGCCTGAGGGAAGAGCTATTATTTATTATGGGGTTTGCCATGGTTAAGAAGGAACAGTGGGGCTGTTTTCTAGGTCATTGCCAGACTCGGCAGGCAGTTATTACAGAGCAGAAACTGTCCTTTTCTAGTCCTTTTCTATCCTTCTGAAGCATGGCTGAACTTAGGTATGAGCTAGAAGCAGAGGCAGAAGAACAAAATTCATTTAGCAATATGGTACATTGTCTCTCTAAAGGTGACAATAAGACATTGAAAACATGCTGGGACAATTGGTGCATAGGGTGGTGCTTTTTTTTTTTTAATACCTAAAAGCTCTCTCTATTAGCCTCTATAATAAGACTGTGTTCTCTCTGAGCTTGGTGTCAGTTCTGAGAAATGCCATCTTGTGAAATATTTGCTAACTCATTTATTCTGCTGTATCAGACTGTTACTATGTGTTAGAAAATGTATTACAAATGATCAAGATACAAAATTAATTTAGCAATCTGATCTCAGCCTGGGTGGTCAGTTATTGTGGGAAGAGGGAGAGGTGACAAGAGAGACGGCAGCTAACCCAGAACTTGAAAGTGGAACGGGGACTCTTGATGGAGATACAAGTCATGTCTCCTGGGAAAAAGGAAACAAGTGAACAAAGGCAAATTATTAAAATGGAAGAAAATTATTAAAATGGGGAGGAGTTGGGGATTGGCTGCACCACTAAGAGACAAATACTGCCCAAGAACCTGGCTTTCGTCCTCAAGGTGATGGCAAGTAACTGCCTTACCGGACATACTGAATGTATAATTTTTTAAAATTGAATCAAAAATGAACAGAATTTACCAGTTTGGCTGATGGAGTTCCCATTAGTCTTTCTAAACTGTTTGTTTGTTTGTTTTTGAGACAGAGTTCTCTGTTTAGCTTTGGCTGTCCTGGACTCGCTTTGTAGACCAGGCTGGCCTCAAACTCACACTGATCCTCCTGTTTCTGCCTTCCTGAGTGCTGGGATTATGGGCGTGAGCCACCGTGCCTGGCTCTCCTATCAGTCTTTTAAAAGCGTGTTTGGGATCTTTTGTCTAAAGAAGGTTGTCAGTTCTCCTTACTAGGGGACCCATATGGAGACTGAGCTTTGTATGGACTACATCTGAACAGGCTGTCTTGGTCCTCTCCATGCATGGTCCTTGGTTGATGTGTCAGTGAGAATAAACAATTCACTCCTCTGGCCAAGAGAAGCTAACAGCTTCTGCTTTGTTACTGAGAGTCGATGATAGGTGAGAATCTTGAAGCCTCCATATTAGTCATTTATTAAATATATGGGTCCTTACGTGGGCAAGCTTCCGAGCTAGAGATATGTCCTGGCTAGTTTTATGTCAACCTGACACAGCTACAGTCATCAGAAAAGAGGGAGACTTAACTGAGAAATTGACTCCAGAATATCAAGCCAGGTGCAGTGGTGCACACCTGTAATCCCAGCACTCAGAGAGGAAGAGACAGGCAGATCTCTGTGAGTTCGAGGCCAGCCTGCTCTACCAAGTGAATCCAGGACAGCCAAGGCTACACAGAGAAACCCTGCCTTGAAAAACAAACCATCAAACAAACAAAAGATCAGGCTGCAGGAAAGCTTGTAGGGTATTTTTAAAATTAGTGATTGATGTGGGTGGTCCCCATTCCTGGGGCTGGTGGTCCTGGGTTCTATAAGAAAGTAAATTAAGCAAGTTGAGCAAGCCATGAGGAGCAAGCCAGGAAGCAGCACTGATAGCCTTTGCATCAGTTCCTGCCTCCACGTTCCTGCTCTGTTTGAGTTCCTGTCCTGGCTTCCTTCAGGGATGGACAGTGATATAGAAATGTATGCCAAATAAACCCTTTCCTCCCACCTTGCTTCGTCATGGGAATGACGGCCCTAACTGGGACAGAACTGCTCTAGAATATCGTGGGGTGTTACTGTGACAGATACGTTGTTTCGGGGAAGATTGTGGAAAGACTTTGGAGCTTGGAAGTTAAGAAAGATGAGAGCAATGTGGGTGAGGGAGGCCTGGCTTGTAAAGTTACAGAGGGAAGTTTGGGGGCCACTTAAAGCCTGTCACATCTGTTGCATATTTTGAGTTAAGAGTCTGTGTTGCTGTTAGTGGCCGCGGAGCACTAGCTACTCTTCCAGAGGACCCAGATTCAATTCCAAGCACCTACATGGCAGCTCACAGCTTCAGCAGCTCCAGATCTAGGGGATCCGACACCCTCACACACAAACGTGCACGTAAAACACCAGTGTACCGAAAATAAAAGTAAAATTCTAATAAAAAAAATCCGTGTTCTGGTTCGCTGGGAATAAAGAATCACCTGTGACTAATAAAGAGAACAGAACCATGTAAGCAAAACCTTTGCTTTACTGGGGATATTGATGCTGGTCAGCTGGAGCTAAGAAATTAGCAGTGATAAAGAAGAGAGCAACATCAGTAAGGTTCCTCAGAGCCAGCACAACATAGGATATACGAGTGAGCAAGACTCAACCTTTCCCCAAAAGACCGCTTGGAAAGCCACAGCTAATTAGAGACAATTGTGAGGTCATGGCTCAGACTGCTGGCAGCTTAGAGCTGGGCAGAGAGACAAATCATACTTACTTACTTGTCTCAGACATTTAAGTCTATAATAAGCCAGTGGTTGGTGTTTAGGGTCTTAGGTGTTCAGAGATGATTAACTTGATTACAAGTTTGAATGCCTTAAGGAAAGGTTTGTTTTTCAAAGCATGAGAAAGACATCATAGAAGCTGTGCACAGAGAACAATATTTGGAAGCTGTCTGGCCATGGGCTAGGCCCTGAGATACCTTTGCAGGGGTTGGGAAATCACCTCCCTCTTCAGAGTGGTGTTCACATCAATGCTGACTCCCCTAGGCTTTGGAAATGGTAGGGAAACTAAAACTAATTCCTTTTCATAATCATGTAGATACTCTTAGACTTCTCGAGTAAGGAACATAAGAGGGAAGAAAAGGTGGGAAACTATGTTTCTCTAAATACCTAAGAAGTGTAGAGATCAGGGCAGACAAGTCAAACCATTTCAGCCAGGAATCTAGGGGCCTGCTAAAATGTATGCACTTGACCTTTTCATCTGCGAGTCTGCTTGAGCGCTGTGCCTCCTTGAGATCCTGAGTCTTGTCTTGTTTCTCTACACTAAAGTAATGAAAATATTTGAAAATTTCAATTGTCATTTTCCTAATAAGTAGCTGACTGAAAACCTACAAGAAAAATAATGCACCAGGATGTCCTGCACCCTTCACATATATCTATGTTCCGCGTTTTTTTGCTGAGAGAGAACGAGTGGTGCATTCTCTTAGCAACATTTTTCAAGCCATTACATGCCTTTCTCAAAGAAATGTATCAACTTAATTCTGTTTTGGGGCAACTTTTGAATAGTGGTAAAATTAATAATAAGAAATAATTTTCATTAATTTTTTGAGTAAATTTAAGCATGCCAAAATGAATATTTATTGTAATAGAGAAATTAAAACTACTGAAGTTCCTTAAAATGCTTTGCCCTTTTTTTCTAACCTCTGTGATTTAATTAAACTTGACATTTTCCCTTTTATTTCCAGAAGTAAAAAATTTTAAATGAAACCAAATATAATTTGAAGCTTCAAAAGAAAGAGGGCACCAAAACAGCCTTTCTTATCAGTCAAATACAGAATTTTTAAAATAAGATCTGTGACATCTTATAAATTAAGAGTTGAATAGTAATTATGAGATCACACCGTTGTATTTAGTAAAATTATAATAAATAAATATCCCCTAACATTCTATTATTAACCCACCTTGAATTTTAAATTATTGAAACCTTGTTTTACCTATCTATCTATCTATCTATCTATCTATCTATCTATCTATCATCTATCTTTTTTTTTTTTTTTTTTTTTTTTTTTACTTTTGAAGCAAGGTTTCTCTGTATAACTGCCATGGCTGTCCTGGAACTCGATTTGTACCAGGCTGGCCTCAAACTCACAGGTATCCATCTGCCACTGCCTTCCCGAGGGCGGGAACTAAAGGTGTGCACCAGCATGCCCAGCTGCCTTTATTTATTTATTTATTTATTTATTTATTTATTTATTTATTTATTT